GAGGCAAAATAACCTGTCTCACAGTTTACACCAGAGGTTATTCTTGACTCATATTTCAAAAGTTTCAATCTCTATTCAGCAGGCTCAACACAAAATGACATGGTGCAAGGGTCTGCTGTGGAGGAAAGCTGCTCATGTCATGGTGACCAGGAAGTAGAGAGGTGCAAGGGCTCGGGGAGGAAGATGCACCCTTCTGGGTCATGCCTCCAGGAACCAGCCTCTTCCAACCAGGCCCCAAACTCCCAACAGCACACTCAGCACGGAAATGATTCCGTAGTGCTCCTATGACATGACTCCATCACCTTCCAAAAGGCCCACCTAGGAGTGTGGGAGGCTTCTTAGGGGACATTCAGATACTATAACAAAAATCCTGTGAGTAATCTTCTGTCATGGTTGCACCATTTTACATTCTACCACAGTCTACAAGAGTTTCATTTTCTCCATATCTGTCAATATTTTCAGGTTTTTGACAGTAGCCATTCCAATGGTTGTGAGATGATAGCTCGCAGTTTATATTTGCATTTCTGATAATTAGTAATGTTGACCATCTTCTCTTAGGCTTTTTGACAATTTACAACTCTTTAAAAGTCTGTTCAAGATCTTTGTATTTCAATCGGATTTTTTAATGACAAGTCATAGGTTTTTTAATATATTCTGAAGATTAGCTTCTTCACAGATATTTCATTTGCAAATTTCTTCTTCATTCTATAGATTATGTTTGACTCTTGTGTCCTTTGACATATAATAATTTAATCTGTCATTTGTCTATTTTTGACTTTGTTGTTTTTGATTTTGTCATCATTCAAGAAACCATTACAAATTTGATATAACAATGCTATTTCCTTATGTTTTCCTCTAGGAGTTTTGTGATTTTAAGACTGTTTGTCTTTCACCTATTTTGAGTTAATTTTGCATAGGTATAAGGTCCAGTTCCATTCTTTGCACACAAACAGCCAGTTTTCTCAAAACCGTTGTTGAAAGGACTATTTTTTTTTATGCATTGTTTGTTCCTGATAGTCCTATTGAAGATCATTAAACCATATACAAGTAGTTTGTTTCTGGACTATTTTATCCCATTGACCTATCTATCTAACTTTAGACTGAAACCACCTTGATTTAATTTTATAATACAGTATGCCAAAAAATGTAATATATCACATACAGTACAAACTCCCTATGAGGAATATGATTATTGTGCCAATAAACTTAACAAAAATGTAAATACATCAGGAAAAAAATTGTACAAATATTTCAATACTAAATTTATTGAGACATCATGAGATTAATTCAAGTTACCTTTGGCCTCTACAATTATGAAAGTTGCTCAAAGTAGTGAGCATTAGCTTCCAGATATTTATTAGTGTGGTGAACTGCTGTTCGGGTAACCTTGGTCACTAAGTTTGCTGCATATACATTTTCAATTACTTCTCTAGGAGCTGGAAGTGTAGGTTTTGGTGTTACAAGACCAAGTTTCCCTTAATGAGGATAATGTCTGTTGAAAAACACCATGTTATTTTTCTTTTCCTGAAGTGTATATACATTTTTTAGTAGACTCTGTACATTTCAAAATAGTATGAATCCTTCAAATTTGGATATTTATCATCCCATGAGATTTCACATAAATGTTAGGATGAATTTTCCTCTAAAAAATTTCATTGGGATTTTAACAGAGGGGGCCCATCAAATCTGTAGATTGCCCAGCATGGATATATTAAATGTGCCTTTCCACCTATGAACATGGGTAGTCTTTTTTTTTTCTTTGTTATTTTTAAGAAGTTTTTCATTTCATGCTCCCATATTATAAATCTGGTCTCCAGTTCAGATAATCTATCCTTAGTTTCTTTCAAGCTGTTATGCCAGTTTTCGATAGAGTTTTTAGTTTCCTGGTAATCTCTTTGAACCTGCTTCACATATTCTTCGCTTTCTCTATTTTCTCCATCAAACAATTCTCCCCTCTTTTTCTGTTCTTCCATTCCACCATCTGTTTTTTCTTGGGTGGTGCTTAGCATTTCTCTAATTATTCTGCTTATTTCTAGCTTCAGGTCATTAATAACTTCATTCCTGAACTCGTCTATGAGGCTCTGGAGATAGCGCTTTATGTCTATTGGTGCAATGCCTGCTATTGCCTGTTTCTCAGGATTGGGGGCCTTTCTTGTTGCTCCCTCTTCCCATATTCTTTGTTCCTTATATATGTAAGCGTATATAGGAGGCCCAGCTTCCTTCCCTGTTGGCCAGTCTGATTGAATTGCGCTGGCTAGGTGTTCCTGCCCACTGCAGCGCACCAGGGAGTTGTGGACCAAGCAGCCTATGCGGGGCCTGCCCCTCCAGGTCACCTTCAGCTGCTGGGACCTGGGCTGTGCTAGCCTACTGGGTCTCAGCCAGCAGCGTTGAACATGGGTAGTCTTTTAATTTATTTGTAGCTTTAATTTCTCCCTCTCTCCCCTCCAGGACTCAAGCACACTAGACAAGCATTCTATCACTAGGGTATATTCCCAGTGCTTTGTTTAAAAAAAAAAGAAAAGAAAATTTAGTTTGAGAAATGGTCTTGGTGTGTTTACCAAACTGTCCTCCAATCTGAGACCTTGCTGCTAAACTTAGCCTCCCAAAATCTGGGATTATAGGTGTACACCACCATACTCAGTTTAAATTTCTTTCAGGAATACTTTGCTATTTTAAGTGTACAAGAGTTTTAGATCCTTGATTAGGTTTATTCCTAGTTCATCATTTTTGATGTCAATGTAAACTGCTTTAATCTTTGAAGATTGGTCGCACACATATGTAATAATTTTTGAGTAATGATTTTGTATTCTGTAACTTTGCTGAATTTATTAGCTCTAAAATTCTTTGATGAGCTGTATGTTTTTCTACATATAAGATCTTTTCAACAGCAAATGGATACAATTGTAATTCTTTTCCAACTTGGCTACCTTTCATTTTTCTTTTTGTTTTGTTTTTTTGAGACTGTCTTGCTATGTAGTTCAAGCTTGTTTGCACTTGGGGTGATTCTCTTACTTCAGCCTCACAAGTACTGGGATCATAGGTGTGTGTTAAGATCATTATGTGGTAGTGAGTTCAAGACTACTCTGGATTGCACAGTGAAACCCTGTCTCAAAAACCAAAGCAAACCAAACCCAACAAAACAACAAAAACCCAAACAAAAAAACAAAACCCAAAAAAGATCATTATGTGGTTCTTGTCCTTTATTGTGTTGCAGTGGTGTATTACATTGACTGCCTTATATTGAAAGGATTCTTATTTCAGGAATACCATTTAATCATGCATACAATCCTTTAAATGTTCTGTTGGATTGTTTCCTCTTTTTTGTTGCTGTTGTTGAAGATGTTTGCATCAAAATGCTGTGGTTATTTTTTGTAGTGTCTGTATTATTTGATATCAGGATAATGCTTCTTTTGAAGCTATATGGTCCTTGTCTTTTTTTTTTTTGATTATTAATTCAATCTTCTTATTCCATATTGACTTATTCATATTTTCTATTTCTACATGATTAAATAGGTTCTATTTTGCTGTTCTTTTTTTCCATATAACAAATTTTAAGGAACACAACTGTTTATAGTATTATAATTTTTTGGCATTGCTAATCTTTCATTTATGATTTAAGTTGTCTCTAATTTTTTCTTTGCTATTCTAGTTATAGATTTGTGGGTTTTGTCTTTCCAAAAAATCAATTCTTCATTATGTTATTTTTCAAATTTCTTATTCTCTACTTCAGTTATATTTGCTCTTTATCATTTTCTTTCTATTTCTAGCTTTGGGGGTACTTTGTCCTTTTTCTAGTTTCTTCAGGTATAGAAGTCTGTGATTTGAGATTTTATGTTTTGGGTTTTTTTTTTTTTTTCTTTAGTACTAGGGATTGAACCAGGGTCTCGTGTATGCTAGAGAAGTATTCTACTATTCTGAGAGCTATTCCCCAGCCCTTTTTACTTATCATTTTGAGACAAGGTCTAAGTTGCCCAGGCTGGCTTCGAAATAGCAATCTTCCTGCTTTAACCTCCAGAGTAGCTCAGATTGTAGGTGTACACAAACATACCTGGAGAAATACTTCGTTAATGTGTAGCTATGAACTTCTCTTGGCACTACTTCTGTTTCATCTACTAAGTTTTGGTACATTGTGTTTCTATTTCCATTTGTCTCAAGGGTTTTCTAGTTTCCCTTAAGATTTCTTTGACCCATTGACTTTGACTGTTACTTTTCACATATTTTCGGACTTTCCATTTTTCTTTATGCCTCTTCTATTCCACTGTAATTGGTAAAAATACTTTGCATGTTTCTTGTGAATTGGTTCTATTTTATGGCCTAATATGTGGTTTGTCCTGGAGAATGTTCCGTGTGCACTACAAAAGGTGTATTTTACTCTTTTTGAGACAGTATTGTGACAGGCCATTTTATTTCATTGTTAATAAGGTACTTTTATAAAGAAAAGGAATACCATATAAAATAATGATGGAGGTTGAAGGGAGGATACAAGAATGAGAAAAAAAAGTTGTATCATGCAGTGGTGCAAATTCTCTATGATGAATGTGATCATTATGTGTATCTAAAAGGTATCAATGACAACAAAAAATGTACCAATGAAATCTGATTGGAACGTACAATAAAATAAAATAATAATGGGGAGTAGATGGGAAAAAGGGATAACTCCTAGATAGTTTACTTTGCGGCTTTTTATTGATTTATAGATGAAATGAATTTGAATATACTTTTTAAGTATTTAGGATTAATTGTGTCTGTTTGTATATATATATATATATATATATATACACATATACATTAATTCATTTATTTTTTTTTAACTTTTTATAGGTACTGGGGATCGAACTCACGACCGCCTGCTTGCAAGGCAGGTGTTTATGCCGCTGAGCTAAATCTCCAGCCCCAATACATTTCTATTTTATTATTTGTGTGTGTGTGTGTGTGTGTGGTACTGATCAAACTCAGAACCTTGAGCATGCTAAACAAATATTCCACCACTAAGCTATATATATATTTTAATAATTTTAATGAAATATACTTTATATACTGAAATATTTAAAATTATCTTAACAAAAGTTAAAAAACACCTATCTCCTAACCAGATAAAACACTGACATTATGGTATACATTCTTCCAATCTTTATCGCTACGTTTTTCTTGAATATAAACACCTGACTTAAGGCAGCAAAAGAAGTACTAAGTACAACAATTTTGTTAATTTTTAAAAAGTAGGTTAAAATACACCTGGAACAAGTATTATGAAAAGTATCCTACTTTTTAAAACAATAATTACCTTGGGGAGAAGATAAGGAAGGGGCCAAGCTTATTGAGAGGCCAAACTATAATTTTAGCCTTATCTCAAATATCCTAATTTTTAAAAGAACAAAATCAGTGTTACTTAAGTAAATATTAACAAAAAGAAAAAACCATGAACATGAAAGTTGCTACATTTATAAATTTTCAAAGAGCAGGTATAATAAATGGAGGAGAAATGACAGGGTTGGCACAGAGAGTAATTTTAAGAGTCCTGCTTTGCCACTCTTTCACAATAATTTCCTAACTCAAATTAGCTTCAAAATCATTCATGTTGTTTTATATGACTGAAAAATGCTGGAATCATCACAGTCCTCAGAAAGCCAAGTAGTCAAACGATTTTTAAAATACTTTTGATATCTCTCTAGGAAAATGTTCCTCATGATCAACTTTCAGAGTCTTAAAAGAAACACTGATTACAGAGTCTCATTCTATAATGCAGGGTGGCCTTAAATTTACTATGTAACGCAGGCTGGCCTTGAATTCATAGTGATCCTTCTATCCCAGCCTTCTAAGTGCTGTGTCACCACAGTATTTGCATTGTTAAAGGTTGCACAATGCACTGGGAATTTGGTGGTATGACAATTTCCTCTCAATGTGATGGCACTGGGAACATCAGATAAAATGCCAGGAAGATCAGATGATTGGTCCTACTAGATCCACTGTGCATAACAGGCAGCCATTGTTCATACTTTAGGCATCTGATAAGTTTTAAAACATTCCATGATTTTTCTCTTTATTTATTAGGCCTTTATCTAACTGGTGGCATTAGCATTTTCACACTAGCATTTTATTCATGTAGCAGTTAGAAATAATAGCATATGAAGCAAGAAGTGAGAACATCTGAGGAAGAAATGACCTGCTGCGTCAATTCTTGGTGGACTCAACCTGACAGGTTTTCACCATTAGAGTCTTTGAGCTGCCCTGGGCCACATGCACCTTGCTGTCCTCTATTGTTAGCAGTGTAATAGGAGATAAGAGTCCTTTATGCTTGTCTGGGCAGCACACATAGTATTGTATTATACTGCTACATGGAATTCTTCCTATGAAGAGTTTTTAACATGAACTGCTCCCTCAGCAAAGACAAAGAATAGGTTGAAAGCATGGGCCTCACTTTAAGATATTTAGATTTACTTAGACTACAAAGAAGTCTTGGCAACAGTGATTTTTAAAAACTTCTCATGATTCTGATGTGCAATGAGAGCTTTAAAAAGTCTCAATACTCAGGGTATGCCTCAAAGTAGCTGAATCAGAATTCTGGACAAGGAGCTTTGCTATGGCTGCTATCTAGATAAACAATGATACAGAATTTCAAAATAAAATAATAGGAGATTAACACTGGCTGATATATTGTATATTGTTATCTTCAAAGTAGTTTTCATATTCCAAGATATAAGCATCAAAAATGATCAAACAGGATGGGGACATAGCTTAGCGGCACAGCGCCTGCCTGGCAAGCGCAAAGTTATGAGTTCAATCCCTGATACCAAAAAAGAAAAGAAATCAAATAAATGAACAATGAAAGCACAAACTGTTCTTTTTTGATGAGCTGAGATTAGTCCAGTTATCTACACTATCCATATATATGAATATATATACAGACATATCCTCTTTTCCCTTCTTTTCTCCTTTCCCCTATCCCAGCTGTTCTTTCCTTATGAGCAATTTCTTTTCCTTTCACAACATCCATTCTATACTTTGGATCTTATTTACTCTTTCAGCTTTTTAAATAGAGAGACAATACGATATTTACACATACAAGTCTGATGTATTTCACTGAGTATCATCTCAAGTTGCATCCATTTATCTATAAAAGTCTCAAGTTTATCCTCCTTTATGGCTGAGTAGTACTCTATTATATACAAATACCACATCTTTTTTTACTCATTCCATAGTTGATGGGCATTTGGGTTGTTTCCAAGATTTAACTATCACAAATTGTGCTGCTATAAACATGTTGTGGTATGATGTTTTTCAATTCTTCTGGGAAAATACTCAGAAGGGGAATAGCCGGAATGGGACCTCCAATCCTAGTTTTTTTGAGTAATCTCCACACTGATTTCCAAAATGGTTGTACCAGTCTACACTCCCACCAACAGTGGAGAAGGGTTCTTTTTCAGATGGGGAGTTTTGATGATGGCTAGATTAGTGTGTGCCAATGTGCATTAAGGACGTGATACTGACCGTGGGAGCAATAAAACCCAAAACGTGTAATAGTACAAAAGAGAGGAAAAGAAAGTGCTCTAAACTATATAACTGCATGTATATTTAAGTGTATAAGATAGAAAATGATATCACTGAGTTTTATTGGATCATTGAACAGAACTGTTTGCAGTATCATTGTTGGAATGTCCACTTTACAAGCTTTAATTTTGTGACTTGAACAATTATTTCTAAGATGACAATATGTAATCCATTAACTAGTGATTTCCTACTGTTTATTTTTTTTTCTGTAAATCTGTATAACTTGTACCCTTTCTCTGCTTTTTTTTCTCCTTAAATAAAATTAAAAAAAAAAAAAAAAAGGACGTGATACTGGGATTAAAGGTGTAGATAATGGAAGACCCACCCTGGATATGGATGGCACCAATCAACAGGTTTATACTTTGGATGAAAGAAACACAGAGAAGGGAAGCTTGCTGCAGCATGTTGCCTCTGCCCAGTATGCCATGGACTATTTCTCCTCTGTGCCACCTCTTTGTCTTGAAGCCAGCCAGCTGTACAATGAAGCCTCTACAAAGTGGGGGCTGAAATGAAATTTTCCTCCTTTAACTTGTCGGTGGTGGATATTTTGTCTCAGAAACGAGGAAAGTAACCAAGTAAAATTTACCAAAATATGTATCAGAGCTCAGACACAAAGTGGTTTTTAAAAAATATGTCCATTTTGTGTACCCAACGTTCAAAATCACTAGTTGTAAGTCATTAAGATGACTGTTTAAAGAATTAAAGAGTGTAAACTGCTTTGTTTTCCTGCTTAAATCAAGTCAGTACTAGATCATTACTACAAAAGGGCCACCAATAAAGAGTTCTAAACATATCACTCTGGTAGTAGCTTATTTATGGAATTTTTTCCCAATATTTTTAAGACTGAAAAAGGGGCAAGGGAAGAAATGTTCAGAAATCACATGAGAAACACTGAAAAATATCTTTAGTCAAACAGTCTGGTCCATGACAAACTTACATTGAATATAGTTAAGTCATAGTGAAGAACAAAGTTGCAAACCAGAATTCACTTCAGTTGAGGCCATAATTAACGTCAAGGGGAACACAAGTTCGAAGGGACATTAAAGGAAATTATAGCACTTTCCAGTGACTTATAAAAACTTCAAAAAAACTAATGACTTCCCAGTGACTCTTTGGTAACTGTTCAGAATACCAATGCTAAAGCAGATTTCTATGTATATTTCAAAGAAAGCTAGAAAGTGTACTGAACATTAATTCAAAATAGGGCATTAAGATGCACATTGTTCAGATAAAATTTTTTTTTCAGCTGCACATAATTTTTTTCAAACTTTGTAATGGTCTATAAAAAAGGCATATACTTATTTTCATCACTAATCTTGAAGAAGGAAGAAAAATGCGGCACAGGCCATACAATTCACTAGGGACCAATCTCATACTTTTTAAAATGAGTGGCAGGGGCTGGGGATTTAGCTCAGTGGCATAAGCGCCTTCCTTGCAAGCAGGCAGTCGTGACTTCGATCCGCGGTACCGATAAAAAGGAAAAAGACAAAAAAAAAAAAAAAAAAAAAAAAGAGTGGCAAGGTCATGGAAAGCTTCCATACATAGCAACTTGTCTTAAACCACTAACCACAGATATAACTCTGGATAACTGACATAGTGGTCTTTTTCTGCTACAAATGACACTTTAACATGTCATTACTTTTAGTTCTTACACTTGTTTACAAAAGAAAAAAATTTACATTGACCAATAGATCTTTCAGTTCAACGTACAGTGTAATATAGGAAAAATATAGCTGCACTGTTTAAAAAGCTACATTCAGTAGCTTCTTAAATGAAACATATGCATAAAGATATGCACTTATCTCTTATTAAAAAGATATCAGCTGTTAAAGGGAGTTGATGAAAGGAAAAATGTCTAATTCCATTACAATGGAATGTGAAAGAAGCTGACATTTACATTTTGGCATTACAACTGTGATTCTTAGGGTAAAACTTACAAAAGCAAATGTAGCTGAACTCAGCCAGTTCCCACCTGTGGCAATGAAGTAAAGTTCACTCTCTAGGCCAAAAGCCACAAGCAACTGTTGGGAGAAGAAGGGCAATAAGAATAGAAGAAAATAGATTCACTGCATTGTTATCAAGAATAGGTTTTCCTGCTATGTGCTTTGCTGTGTTTGTTGGGCTGTTGACCACCATGCCGGTGCTTTCATCCAAACCTAGAGTGGAAAAGAAACAAACAGAAGATCCAAGTGGCTGATTTAACAAGAACAAATTAACTTTCTTTCTCCAAAGGAGACAATCTTTAAAAGATTATCAGGAACCTGCAAAGTGGCCTTGATAGATAATTTACATGGTGAGCCTGAGCTTCCTTCTTGGTGCTCTTCTCCAGCACTAAGCTATGAAACCTCTGTGAGTAGGACTCGCATCTGTGTGACCTCCACACTGTCCGCCCAAGGCCCAGAATGGTGTTGGCACAAAAGGAGGGTTGAAAGTTCGTGTTGGGAATTCATGCTGGGATCCAAGGCCCACCGTGTGCATGAAGAGGTGAGGGCTTTGGGCAGCAGTCCCATCATGAGGGGCCTGATCTCAGAAATAGGTTCACTGCTCTTATAAATGAGATCTCCAAAGAGCTGCGTCTTCCTTTCATCCTTCTGCCTTCGCTATGTGACAAAGTGCAGGGAAACTGATAGTAAGCCTTTGCCACGCCCTGAATTGCTGGTGCCTTAATCTTGACCTTCCTTGTATCTAGAGCTAGGAGAAATAAATCTCCGCTTTACATAAACTACCCAGCCTAAGGCACTTTTTAATAGCAGCATAAACAAAGTTACACTGTGAACACCAGTGACGCACAGAATGAATGAACTTGGCCCTACTGCTCACACTGTTCCTTCAACTCATTTAATATGTGATGATTCCCCTCTCAGAGCCCAATTCAACTCATTTAATATGTGATGATTCCCCTCTCAGAGCCCAATGTAGAATAAAACTTAGGTTGCTTAAAAGAAAAGTGGGCTACTGTGTTCACTCACAAGAGCCTGCTCTCATTCTGTAGAGTGTACTTATTTTCTTACATTTACTTGGCCTAAACTTGCTCTGCAGAACTTGTTCCTTTTCCTACCTTTAATAAATGTAAAACCTTGCTATCAAAAATAAGAAAGAAAAGTGTACTCTTTGAGTGTGTGCTGAGTCCTTGAACCTTTAATGTTAATTAAAACCAGATTACTTCCTAATGAAACTAATAAAATGTTAGAGAACAAACATTTTGATTGTTGGGAGAGGAGTGAAAGGGAAAAGGGATTATCTTGGAGTTTTTAGGTTGCTAGAACTACTCTGCTTTGGGATTCTTCTCCAGCCTCCCAGCCACACAGTAAGGTCAAGCAAAGGAGTGTGGAGCCAACATACACGTAATGGGATCTGTCACTATACTGATAGGATGTGAGCTCCTCAGAGACGAAGCGCAGAAACTTTTAGGAAAACTAACTCCCACCTACTTTGAGATGCTAAAAACTTACTGCTGAGGGGAGCAAACATGGATTAACACTGTAGAAAAGTAGATCATGTTCATGTAGCCAAATAGTTCAATAATTTATCTATCAAATGGGGGATTTATAAAAAACAAATACGACGAGGTACATTAGGTAGTGGTCTATAATCAAAAGTATCTGTATCTTCCACCCTAATCACTGATCTGCAGAACTCTATTTCAATTAATTTAACAAGAAAGAGTAAAAACCAGTAACTATATAAGGCACGCTGGTCTGTCATTTCTGGTCCCTTAGCATCTGTGTCTTTGTGGGATTTGTTTTCAATGCCTCAGTTTTTAATTTTCTATTTTTCTTCCCCATTTCTTTAAAAAAAAAAAAAACAGTAAACTGTAATAAAAAGATAATGTTCTTACCAGAAAATTGCATTGTTGCCCCTAAATATGAGTCCAGAATTGATCCTAGTAATCCAGCCAGACCCCCAAATACAATAATTGGCCACTGAGGAGCAGAAATGTCTAAATCATTCACAAAAACCAATTGTGTGAGGAAGTACGCAATGCCCACAAAGGTTCCGCCAAGGAGACTGGAAGCAAGTCCCACCACAGTAACCCCTCCATTGGTTCCTGAAAAAAAAACATGCATGAGGTCATCCAGTTAATAATCAAGAAACGCATAGTCGAGGAAAGCAAAAACTTTGGGGTACTTACATAATTAAGATTAATTTTTTTAAATTTATAAAATTTTAACTGATATGTAAGCATCTGCATATTTATGGGGTACAATATATTTCAATACATAATATAATGCTCAAATAAGGGTAAATACATCTATCTCCTCACATACAATTTCATTATAGAGAAACACAAAAATCCTCTCAGCCTTTTAAAAATATACAGTACATTATTACCTCTAAATTACCCTATTCTGTGGTATTGTATGAGTAATTTAACTATAATTTATTACTTTCCAGTCAACCTTCCTTCTGCTCCTCCCAGTCTCTGGTTCCCTTAATTTCTATGAGGTTTTTTTTTAAGGTTCCATCTGAGAGAGATAAAACAGTATCCTTTTAGAAAGCATTCCTTTCAATGCAATGACAAGACTGTAGCCTACTTAGAAAAGTTGGGTTTTTCTCTTAAATCTTGAATTCTAAGCAGCAAAGCAGAACGGTTCAGCAATAGCAGACTGTTACTTCTGTGCACCTCGTTTTCTTGTTCACAAGATGGGAATAAAGGAACAAATTCATACAATTATTATGAGTACTAAGCAGTGATCCATGTAAAGCAGAACAATACTTTGCACAGGAAGTATTAAAAATACATTAGCTGTTGTAAGAGTGATGATGAAGAGAGGAAATAAAGGTTGTGAAACAGGAGAAGAGAGCTGGGAAGAAGAACGGTAAAAGTAAGACGAAGACAAAAAAATGTAACAGTAGCTGATAATGGTAATGGGGAAATCAGACACACCGCAGTGCCTGGTGTCCACAGGGGACTGGTTCCAGATCTCCTACAGATAATAAAATCTTTGGATGTTCAAGTTTATGATATAAAACGCTGTAGTATTTACACGTCAACTACACACATCCTACCATTCACATACTTTAAATCATGTCTAGATGATTTATAATTCTAATATAATGTAAAGTTATTACATAGTATTACTTAGGGAACATAATAGCTTGTATCTAGATGTCCCCCCAACTTTCATATGGTCACAGGTGGGGCTTCTTGGAGGTGGCTAGATCTAGGGTGGTGTGTGATATTGTGATTAAGGATGTTGCCGGGACTAAGATGCCCCACCCTGGGTAGTGCTGGATGAACATAAGGGACAGAAAGAAGGCTTGCTGCTTCGTTGTCTTCTGTCTGCACTGTTTTGCCATGGACTGTTTCTCCTCTGCAGTGTTCCTCTGCCATGCCGCCCTGCTTTGGAATCAGCTGACTACGGTCTGAAACCTCTACAAACTCTGAGCCAAAATAATAAACTTTTCTTCTTTGACTTTGGGTGTTGGCTATTTTGTCTCAGGAAAGAGAAAAGTAACTAAGACAAACCTTGTATATGTTCAGTAACAATGACATTTTTATTTTCTCTGGACATTTGCAACCTGCTGTTGCTTTAACCGACAGATTTACTGCTGAGTGTGTATTATAAACATTAATTACACACAGTAGACTTCTGAGTTACAACCAGTCTCATATATGAATAACGTGCGTTATGACCAGAATTTTTGGTTTAGCTTATATGACCAAAGTCTTAAGTTACGATGCAAATGCCTGCTGCTTGTGTGGTTGTAAAGAAAGACTCTCAATGCCAGAAAGGCATACATAAGCTCAAGTAAGCATCAGTCTGAGCCAAGAGGCACATGTTTAGGGACATGATTTTGGTCAGTGCCTCACATAACTGCTACAATTACTGCTATCAAAATGGCTCCCAAAAAGCTAAGGAAGCTAAGGAAGGAAGGGACGGTAAAGAAAGCAATCACAATAGAAAAGAACAGTGTTAAAGAAAAGGCAGAAACAGGCAACCTTAGACTACCTGTTAGTTCTCAAAAGGTTGAGACTTAGCCAGAAGCAGGTCCTAGTGGGCTGCAGACTCTTCCAATACAGAAACGACACCGGAGAGCCAGATTCTTAATGTGCTTATGAAGGGGACTCTCCTTCCAAACAGTAACCACCTTCTATTTCATCCTCCCTTTCTGCAAGCCACAGATGTCACACTGGTTTTTCTGGTACATTATGCACATTATATAATCTTTTTTTAATTATGGAAAGGTTAATTAAGGAGTGTTTTGGGAGGTTTAGAACACATGGATATTTGCATTATTTCTTATGGGAAAAAGTCTTGATTTACAACCAACTTGAGTTATAATCAGTCTGCATGAATGAACTGAGTTTGCAAGTCAACTGTCCACTGCACTAGGTCCTTGAGAAACACTTTCTTTTCTTTTTCTCTCCTCTTGTAGGTTTGTGGGTCAATCTCCATGTTTATCTAGATCTAGGTCTACCTCTAATTTATCTACGCCTTGCTAACATTTCCTATTATCACCAACTTAATAGTCTATAGCAGTTTTCCAGTAAGAAATAAATTAAATTAGGAAAGCTTTTTTTGTTTTTACTTTTTTAAGAAACTGAAAACAAGACTCACCAACTGGAACTCTCTCCCAGGTTGTAATAAGCCTTGGCTGGCTTTTACTTAGAACTGGGCCAACTTCTGACGCCCAGGTGTCTCCAGCAGAGCAGGCCAGTGCAGCCAAGAGAGACAAACACATCCAGGAAGCAGTGTGCTGCTTGGAAAAGTCGATCGGCATCTCCCCAGGGCCATTTTCTATCATGTAGAGCAGGGCGAGCTCTGTGGGCACAGCTCCATTGCAGAACACCTGAACCCAATTTCTTTGCCCTCCTGAACACAAAAAGCAGACAAAAAAAGACATGTTTTCTCCTCAGAAAGAAAATCATGTAGTGATAGAAACTTGTGTTTTAAAGTTTAAGAAAAGTCACTCAATTTTTTTTTTTTTAAGACTAGAACTGCTATGGTACCTTGGCCACATTTCCTACTGCTATTAATAAATTGAAAATAATGAGTGATAGATTCTAGTGATACTAAAATTCTGGTGCTGCTTTCTATTGTGGTGAAACAAACAGTAGACTAAATTAGGCTACTGAAGTGATTCTCAAATAAAACTTACCTGCTTTAGCACTCTTACTGTTTTGATTAAAAGCTTACTGTAGCATGCAATGGTTTCCCACTCTGAGTAGTGTCAAACATAATTAATCTTACCTTCTTTATATTCTGAATCTATACGCTTCTTTGCTTGTCCCTTCCATTTAGTGAGTTTGGAAGATGAAAGAAAAAACATCAATAAAGAGGTAAAAAAGCTGAAATTTGCAATGGTTAGGATGAATCCAACCACTAGGCCTGAAAGAAACATATAAACATGGAATTATAATTAACACATACATGTGTTATATATACACATATATAAAAAATTGTATTTTTCAGGTATTTGAACATTGTATGTCTAATGCACATTTTCAATACATTTGTATGAACTGATAAAATAATTTATGATATTCAGATCTTTTAAATGCTATGTGAATGTAAGATACTATTTTAGATACTTTTTTATAAGCAAGTTAGATAAATGAATAGCAGTGATTAATTATTAAACAATAGGGCCAGGGATATAGCTCAGTGGCACAGCACCTGCCCAGCAACAGTGAATTCAAGCCCCAATACCAAATATATATATACTGAACAATATATACAACACACACCAACTAGAAGACTAAAGAATTTTCAAACTATGGCCTTCTATGGAGAACAAAATCATAGGTTTTCAAATTTCTACCTTTCACATTTTCCCCCTATAGTCTGGGTCTTTCTTTCTACTTTAAAAAGGAAATTAAAAAATAGTAAGCTTTTTATGCATTACAAGGAACTTTCATATGCTCTCTTGCTGAGCCTCATGATCTACTGTAAAGTAGTAGAGTTTTTCTTAGCTAAATGTTCTTGTATAAATCCAGGAAAATAATCTAAATTTCAAGTGTTAAAAAGGGAAATGTCCTGTGAATGTGATTTTAGATTTTTCAACTCTCCTGTCTGGTTAGATTTTCTTCAGGCAAACAAATAATGGAGCAATAATGAACAATTTGAATGAAGGCTTGTTAGACTTGCTGTTCAATCAGGTAATACAGCCGGATGTAGTGGTGCATACTGTAAACCCAGCATTGGGAGGCTAAGGCAGCAGTGGCAAGTTCAAGGCCAACCCGGGCTACAGTGAGTTCAAAGCCAGCCTTAACTGTATAGGGAGAGCCTCTCAAAGAACAGATAAACAAACCGACTAGGAAAAAACAAGCAAACAAAAACCCTTATATTACATGACCTAAAAAGGAAAAAAACAAAACAAAAGACAAAAAGCAAAGATGCACTCTTGCTATCACAGCAGTGTGGAAAGTGGCCACTGAAGTCAACTGCTAAAATAGGTGAACATGCTTGAAACTTAAGAACTCGTGGGTAATATAAGAAAAGTTGGTAAATCCGCTCTCTAGGTAATTCCATACGAAAATGTAAACAGTTTCTGGAATGATATATTTTTAAAATCATCCAGATAATCCTAAAGGCCTTCTGTCACAGAATTTTAATACATTTTTGTGAACGAAACAGTGTTAAAGTGAATGTCTTTAGTCACACTGTTATGGCTGCCATGTCTTGTCTGGAATCTGTTCAAAATGTTCACTTTGCGTCATCCGGAAAATAGCCAAATGTCAGTAGTGTCAGAAACGGTGAATAAGGTAGATGAGGACACACCGTAATGTTTTACAAGTCTCTTTCCATGGGATGGCATTCGGCAGCAGCATTCACTATATCTTCTTTAATATACTTCCTAAAGACGTTCAGGACGTCCAGAACTGCTTTGGAATGTGGCACAAATAATGAATGATGAGCGTGGTGAAAGAGTGTGAGTGAGGGGTTTTTGAGGCAGGTTAATGATAATGATTTGTTTTTTGAACATATGGGCTCATTCTGTAGTTTAGACTGGCCTTGAATTTTGGGTTCAAATTCACGGCAATTCTCCTGCCTCAAGACTCCTGAATGCTAGGATTACAGGTGTGCGCACCATGATTCCTGGATGAACAATGTGTCTTTTACTATAATAATATTTTTTTTAAATAAACATTTATTATATTTTGATTATCCCTTTATAACAATGGTTAGTGAATCTTACAAAAACTGAATTAGAGTCACAATATAAAAAGTAAGTAAGCAGGGGCTGGGGATTTAGCTCAGTGGCATAAGCGCCTGCCTTGCAAGCAGGCAGTCGTGAGTTCGATCCCCGGTACCGATAAAAAAGAAAAAGACAAAACAAAAGCAAGTAAGCCATTGATAAAAATGACAATACACAAAATAGACAATTCTTTGAACACTGAGAGTACACAAAATTCAATCACAGTGGCTTCAAGAAATTAGATCAGGACATAACTGCCCGAAGAACATCTTTAACTGAAGAACGTGTTAACAGATGGAGGTAGTCTCTTTTAGCATGAATCATTTCTACAAGTCTTGTTTTCTTCTGTGACAGTGATTTTTAAGAATTACCCCAGTTTTTTTTCAATTAGGGTGCTTAATATTTCATCATTACTCCGAAGGTATTCATTCCTGGCCCAGCTAATAATGGATGATGGTGCATCCTTCTCAGAGCATCACATCTAGAAGCCCTTAATGGCCATCTTCAAGTCACTGGCAAGGTTAATTTTGATCACTTAAACTCAGGGTATTGTGTAATTTTTCCAACACTAAATTAATCTCTTTTCTTTTAGAATAAAATGCTATCTGTGAGAAATATTTTACGAATGTGCAAATATTCTGCCCCTCATCAAAAATTTCCCTAGATTTAGTAATAATCAAACTATAACTGGATCCAATTTCCTGACTCAATCTTTATGATGGTTGCAATGCTGATTTTTCAACTCTATCACTCTTTCTGTACTGCCTATTAAGCTCTTGGCATTTTAACATAGGATTCACCTTCTCCAGTTTTAAAGAAAACTATTATCAATATGGACTCATGACTTTCTGTTTTTGGCTAGTAGCTTATATTATTTTACTTAATTTTTGGTTCTCAGATTATCTTTGAATTGATCAGTAGCAGTCTTTGTATGCTAGTCCCTGTCTCCTGTGATGAGACACACACTCTTTTTATCATCTCCTTCTTTTCTGGCAAAAATAGATATTCCAGGCTCATTCTAAACCTTCTCTGAAAGCAGTCAGTTCTCTTAGTAGCTCTGGTTCATTTTAATAGGCAGTGAATATTAAAAACCAAGATCCAGACTTTCAGGGTACTGGGTTATCTTTTATTTGTGAACAAGGCAAGAAATACACATATAAATATAAACACTTGCATAAAAATGCACACATGCATGTGTATGTTAGGAAGTAGAAGATCACATGAATAACTCCAATTCTAACATATCCTCACAGATTTTTGTCTTTCCGTGTTCTATCTTAGTATGTTTTTATATGAAGGACCTTAGCTCCCAAGAACACTGACAAATTCACTCAAATGCTCAGTCTGTATTATATCTACAATTGTTTTAGAATTGCTTCACCCAAACTACAACAAAAATAAACTTTTTAAAACAGTTTAACATTTATTTGCAATTTTCCCTCCCTTTCCCCTAAGATGGGGAATGCATACTTTAAAAAACTGCAGTGTTTATCCCCCTTTTCTGTATTTACAGTACTCATTTGAAATGCAACTTGTTTCATTTCAGTCTATTTTCAGTTTTGCATTTCTCCCATTTCTTACTGTGGATATAATTTTATTTTTAATTCATTATTTTATTATTTAGAATACTAATATACTTCTAAAAGTCAAACATACAATACGGTGTACTTAAAGAAATGTTACTTTGTCCCATCCCTATTTTTTGCCCTTCCTCAGCTTTTGTAATGGCATTGTTTTCCTGTCTGCTTACATCATACTAATTTACTTTACTAAACATAGATAGATTTATATGTACTTTAAAATTTTTCCTTCTTTTTCACCCAAAAAGTAGATTCACTATGCTCTTTAGAATTCCTTAGCAAATGTTTTTGGTAATTTTATGGTCCTTGTTTAAGGACAGAATGTATTAATCTGTCAATAAACACCAAAAAATTGACATTTTTCTTTGTAAGTTGATCTCTGTCGTATTTGCCTGATTTGAATATAAACATGAGAGAGCTTCCAGTCGGAGGGTCTGAAAACAAATCTAACTTCATGTCTTCAGTAGGTTTGAGAACCATTTACCAAGTACTATTATCTTATGTGGTCCTGTCAGGCAGTCTGATGTGACTCCTACTTTTCTCCTCCTCTTTCTCTCTTTTTCTTGACGCTGGGTACTGAACTTAGGGCCTTGACCATGCTATGCATGTGTTTACCACTGAGTTACATCCCCAGCTCTACAGTTTTCTCTACTTAATTTATACAGTACCAAAACTGCTCCATCCTTACTCTATGACTGACAATTTCTGTTCTATGTAAACTCTGTAATAAATACATTCAGTTTTGCTTAATGGAGAATTTTGTTAAATAATGTATAAAATAGAAATCTATTATATATCAAAGTATATTAAAAACAATGATATGAAAAACTTTAACTTATCTAATAAAGCTATATAACACTTTATTAAATGAGAATTGGGAGGTAGGTTTCTATTTCCATAGCATCCCTTTCCATTGCTTAGTTCAGGCATAAGTAGCATAACTAAGACAACTATGCAGATTCTTCCAAAAATACTCAATTATTGGCATTTTACTGCAGTGCCTTTTAATAGTGACTACAAGGTATACGGTATAAATCAATAAAAAATGTTTCATCTCAGGAGTCAGTATGGAGTTCACACTTTGGCTCCTCTACCTGCCTCTGTATGGCTTGATTCCTTAAGATTCGATTATTTTATTACTATGTATTTGCAATGTAAGATAATTATATTCGTCATGAGGAGTTGGTAAGATACACATATCTTAATTCTTGTTTTACTGAAGACTTAATTTTGCATTAATGTTGTGTCACTGGGTTATTGTGAGAAGTTATAAAGTAATTCTTGTAATATGCTTATTATACTACCCAAGAGTACTAGAGCTCCTTAACAAATGTGAATGTCAATGGTTTTAACAGCAGTAGCAGTTCCAATGGTGAGAGCTCAAAAGCAATAATAATGATAAATGTTATATTACTATCTACCTTTAAATTGTTCAATTGATATTTTGTTTCTGTTTTTTTACACAGCATTTTACTATCTATGTAGTTCAGGTTCATCTCAAATTCATAGCAATTATTCTGCCTTGGCCTCCCCAGGGCTGGGATTACACGTATGTGCCACCGTGCCTGGATCAATCAATCTTTAAAACCTTACAAAAGCAGTGCAAAGATATTTGAGGGAGAACTCAAAATGTATGGATGAATACAAAGTGAAAGTCAAAGAGTCTCCCAAACTATTAACAGCTTATTCCCCCATCTTTAAACTCCAAGCAGGATGGTCCTAAAACAATCTACATGGACATTTCACAAAATGCATCTATATCTTTTTACTCCAATCACTTTAAAATACTACACAAAGTGATCGGGGTTAATGCCGTTGACAGCTTTAGACTGAGGAATAATTTAAGATAACATGCTTTAAAGAAATAGGTTCTTTATGCAGTGTAAGTCTTGGCAAATCCCAGCTATGCCTGAATTTTTAGATTAGTAACTGCTATCTCCTGCCCGTGTCTAGTTCACTTTCTTACCACATCTCATGAATCTCTACCATTGATAAGATAAAAACAAAGTGTGGCAAAGAGCTTGAAGACTTAAGAATGACACTGCCTTCTTTTTGGGCCTAAGGTAGGTAAATTCCACACTCAACAGAAAGTAAACTCAGGGGAAAACAGCATCATTTATAAACATCTGGTAGTGGAAGTTAGACCCAAAATTCCTCCTAAGGCGACATGAGTCGCAGAAAAGAGAGGCCAGGACTAAAATTGCCATCTAATAAACTCACATCTAACCTATTATTTAATGTTATCAACCTAAAGAAAAACTGGGAATCAAAAGCAGACTGGTTAGTTCCAAATGGAGAAAATGAAGGCCAGAAGCAAAACAGAGGTTAACAGGACACCACCCAAGGGAGGGGAACCTTTGACCTGTGGACTTGCAGAGCTGCTTCTCAGACTTTGTATTCACTGACTCCAACTTCTAATTATAATCCTGCCTTCCCACTTGGCCTGAATCCAGGAAGAGGGCACGTCTGAACAGTAATGCTTATATTCCAGTCTGCCTGGTCATTCTACATTTCACCAGATTAATCAAGTGGCGTTCTGGCTCATACACCAATTTCTTGTGACAACAAGCAATATCCATCTAATTGCTTTCTTGGCTCTGCTCAACCAGATCTTAACTAGAGTTGACCAAAAAAAGATAAGGCTACCCTTTGCAAAGATCACCATTGGCCTTTCCAGATAGCTCACCTTGCTGTGAACTTTCCCTGCAATTACAGAATCTCTGAGGCAGAATCAGACGGAACCAAACTTATCATCTTTCTGTCACAAAATGTAAGCTCTATAGCATAGGAGTTTAATTCATTTAGTCATTCTTAAAAGCCCAAGTGCCTAGAACACTGATTTATACACATAGGACTTTCACTAAATATTTGTTGAAAACGAAAAAATGATAAAGAATTTAGCTTTGGCATTTGCAATTAAATGCAAACTTGCCAAGTCAAAAGCTTAATAAAAAATTGTCCATGTTTACAAGTTTAAGGAAAAACTTTCAGTAACTAGGCAGAACTGTGAACAACCGGAAGAACATTTTGGAGTAAATCACCTGAACAGTGCTTTATAGTTTGCAGGCACTTTCTCAGACACCCCATAATACGACCCTCTTCTTACTCCGAAATACACTCTCTCTCCAAAAGACCAGGGCCCTCTGTTTAAGCACTGCTCCATCTCTCCTCCCTGTTCTATCCACACTAATCTACGTATTCCTGTGTCCCGAAGGACTCTGAACACCCAGATCGCCAAGAAAGGTCTATTACTTTTAGGCATTAATCCCAAGTAAGATATGGCAAACCTTAGTACAATTCTTATATAGTAGGGGTGGAAGGGAAACAATAATAGTAACTGATATTGACCACTGATAATTGTCAGACACTGTGGTAAGCATTTCATATGGATGATGACTCACAATAGCTCAGTGCTATCCTTCTCATCTTATGGAGACAAAAATTACAACACTGAGAGCCTAACTGTCATACAACAGTCATACTCCCAACTTCTTTAATATACTTTGAGTCAGCATTACAGTTTTTTGTTACTTTTTTATTTTTTTAGGTACCAGGGACTGAACTCATGACCTTGTGCTTACCAGCAGGCTGAGCTATATCCTTGGCCCAAACTTTTTTTTTTTTTAATCGGTACCGGGGATTGAACTCACGACTGCCTGCTTACAAGGCAGGTGTTTATGCCGCTGAGCTAAATCCCCAAACTTTTTTTTTGGTACTGGGAATCAAACTCAGGGCCGTGTGCTTGCCAGGCGGGTGTTGTACCACTGAGCTATTGTTGGCTTTGTTTTTCTGAGACAAGAGTCTCACATGTAGTCCAGGCTGGTCTCAAATTTGCAGCAATCCTCCTGCCCCAGCTTCCCAAGTGCTGGGATTATGGGTGTACACCACCCTACCTGACTCCATTTTCTTATTTTTAAGGAAAGAAAAGTTCCAAACAACATTTCATAGAATGAAACAATTAGGAAAGTAGCCAAGGTATTAAAATGAATTGTATATCTGTTTCCTATGCACCTAATTTCGTCCATAACTATTTAAAGAAACAGAAGACATACAAACATAAGATACCCTCAGTCTTCAGGAGTTTATAATTTAGTAGTTATCCTTTATTTTCAAGTGGATCAAAGAGTGTATTATAGTATCATAATACTTTTTTTTTTTCAGACAGGGTCTTGCTGGCCTTGAACTCACTATGTAGACTAGGCTGGGCTCAAACTCACAGCAATCTTTCTGCTTCAGTCTCTTAAGTGCTGGTATTACAAGTGCGTGCCACCACCAGGGCTGGCAAGAATACATTTTCAGAAACATTCACATTACATTTTTGCTACCTGATTTTCACTGTTTCCCTGTATTACATTTGATAATTTCTTCTGATTAGGACTGTCAGCAAAGAGGAATGGCTTTATCAGGTTTGATTCCTATTCAATATGAATAATTCAGTACTAAGAAGCCCCAAACCACATGAGCTGCCTTCTCACCCTCAAACAAACCAGGCTAATCTATGCCAAGGCTCATGTGCTTGTTTTTTTGTCAGCCTAGAACATGCTTCTCTCTGACTTCCTGGCTTATTCAAACTCAGCTCCAAAGTACATCCTTAGAGGAAAGCACCTGATGTTTATCTATAAATTCTCAGGCTGGTGATATAGCTCAGAGACACAGAACCTGCCTGGCAAGCATGAGGTCCTGAGTTTGATTCCTAGCACCAAAGAAATAACTAAATAAAAATAAATAAATGCTCCATATCATCCACACTTGGTATTTTAATTTTTCTCATAAATCCTACCATCATCAGAAAACTTTCATAGATTTTATTTACTTATCTATTGGCCCTAGAGAACCAATTTCCATGAGAACTGAAATCCTGTCTTTGTTCACAGCAATCGCCCTTGTTCCTAGTGGGACAAACAAGTAAGTGCTCAATAAGTATTTGCCCAACTCAGTTCTGAAAAATTAATCTGCAGTACTAGGTTTGAACTGCTCTATTTGAGATTTCTAATAACAATTTCCAAAAAGTATCCTTTCCAACTGTTTCTGTATTTTACATGTAGGAGGAATGCTTCAATATTTTTGCTAGTAGGAGATTAATCATGCACCCCAAAGAGAGAAATAAAGTCCTCAAAAGTAACCTACTTTTTATCAGTTACAAAGTTAATTTATTATGATTTACTAAAAGTATACTCCTAAAAGTCTGACAACATAGTAATTCTAAGCAATACATAACTTAATCAATGTCTAAAATATATATCATTAAGATTTAGCCTTACGTATTTGGAATACAGAAAACATTTGTTTCGGCACTGGGGATTTAGCTCAGTGGCATAAGTGCCTGCATTGCAAACATGTGATCGTGAGTTTGATCCCTGGTACCGATTAGAAAAAGAAAAAGGAAAATATTTGTTTAAATTATGTAAGTACATATTTACATAATTAACTTTAAGATTCAAAATAAAAACGTACCTCCTAATGCTCCACTGTAATCTAGACTTTTCTTTTTAAAGCCATTACAGGAGATCAAAACAGGAACAACAACAGAAAACAGCCAACGCCAAGGAGAAACAGGCCGTAAGTTACCTGAAAATTATAAAAGTTGAAGACAAACTGTTACATCTACCTAAATTTGTCTTGGCAGTAAGCTTTGGCAACTGCATTCTGGATTAAAATGCTGTTGTCAGTACAGAAACTGAGATGAAATCACAGAAGTAAAATATACATATTGAGACTTGTACTTTTCTAGAGGGACAATTTCTTACTGGAGAATGGTCAATTAAATCCAAGTTTTGAGAACTATTTATAGCTACCTATGCTAATGCATACCTTAAACATGATTATCTGGATATATGAAATGAATCCAATTCCTTAGTTTTTAAAAGAAAGCATTAAATTTCAGGGACAACACAGAATCAACTTTTTCTTAATAGGACCTAATTAGCCCTCTGCCTTTCAGTGAGATTATTCTAAACAAGTAACATTCTGACAAGCTATAAATTTAATTCAAAGTTAGAAATTTGTTTTTCCAAAAGTTGTATTCAACTTACCTATGTCTTGTTTTGCCAGCATACTGCTTTCAAAATATTTGGGCAAATATTTAAAGATTACGAGATGTTATATAAAAATACCAATTCTTCAATTTAGAAGCTGGAAGCCCTGCCTGCTATGAGGCAGAATTACCTGAAATTGAAAAGTGGCCACCTCCTTACTGTGGTTTATGGCTTTATCATTTACAATTCCTACCACTTCCGATAGAGTCCTTACATTAAAACTGAATGATTTCTTCTTTTTTTGGTCTTTTTCGTTTTCATTGGTACCAGGGATTGAACTCACGACTGCCTGCTTGCAAGGTAGGCGCTTATGCCGCTGAGCTAAATCCCCAGCCCCAAAACTGAATTTCTTTATGATAAAATGAAATACGAACTTGCTTGTGTCCAAGTTTCTACCCAAAACAGGAAAATGAAAGACAAAGAAAGCAAAACAATCAACAAAAGTAGGAAATATTCTATTTTTGCACATGAAAACTATTGTCCCATGTCTAACATGCAAACATAACTTTATCTGTAGTAGATACCTGGCCCCAGGGAGATACATCAATTTAAGAATTCCCAATTTATTTTATTTGATTGGATAAAAATCATCTCCTTTTCTTCTCTTCAAACCTCCTCTCCTACTGTACATCATTAGGAATGAATAGCCCTGAAGAACTTCTGTATCCTTAAAAATACATTTCTGATTATTCATGTCCCTTTGCAAAAGGTCTTTGTTCTGCAGTGGCAGTTATATTATCATTTTTTAAAAGCTCACCTGCTCACTTTTTTTTTTTCCCCAATGTTTTCTGTCTACTATCCTTTTTTTGTAGGAGTATCAAGGAAATTTACCATATGGGTATACCCATGCTGAGGCAGGTTCAGAACCTTAAAGATAGGACTTCAAAATATTCTATATTTATGCTTGAGGCTTTAAAATGTCTTTAGCCAGGCATGGTGACACACGCCTGTAATCTCAGCACTAGGGTGGCTGAGGCAGGCAGATCACTGCAAGTTTGAGACTGGCATGGCCTACAAAGTGAGCTCAAGGTCAGCCTGAACTGCAGCAGTGAGACTCTGTCTCAAACAGACAAAGGTAAATAAATATTTTAAAATAATAATAATAAAATATCTTTATTTGTATGTGTGCTGGGGATCAAACCTAGAACCTGGAGTGGGGTAGGCAAACAATCTAAAACTGAGCTATACACTCAACCTTGTACTTTCGTTGTTGTTTTTCTTGGTACTGGAGATTGTATTCAGGGTTTTAGCACAGAACTATTTTTTTTTTTTTTTTTTTTTGTCTTTTTTGTTTTTATCGGTACCAGGGATCGAACTCACGACTGCCTGCTTTCAAGGCAGGTGCTGATTCAGAACTATATTTTCCAAGCCCCTTGTAAAGTTTTTGCACTTTGAGACAGGGCTTAACTAAATTGTCCATGTTGTACTCAAATTTGCAGTTCTCCTACCTCAGTCTCCCAGAGTTCTGAGTATAGATGTGCACCACCAAGCCTGGTTTAGTCTATAGAGTCACCAAAGAGCAGACAAATCCTTAAAACTGTTCAACTGTAAACCTTGTATCATCTTTAATTTATGAACTTGATAGGATACATGCAACTGATACACTATAGTATTAAAATTCTTATTCAAAATTAAAAGTGTCACTGAAATCACTTCGAAAAACCATATTTTATATTGCATATTTTTCACCAAGGTGGACAAAATAATTATCTGGAACATAAAGATACTTTGAGAAAGGTATAAGTAACATGAACACAACAAACATTTATTAAGCGGGCAATGCTTATATTATCATGTGAAAAAATGAGGCCGTGGAAGTAAAGACATCCATTCACAATTCTTCAAAAGACGTGAGTCTTGGAACTATTTTAGGTTCCGATTATAGGAAAACAATTTAGAACAGGTCTACTTACCGTAATAAGTGCTAGCAGTCATTGACAGAATCCAGAAAGCTAAGGAAATGCAAATGATCAAGCTCAGTGTTACTATATTAGTAATCATCTTTATATATATTTTGTGTATTCTGTCGTCAAAATCTGTCATGGAAAACAAGGATACGAGCACCTGAGGGAGAGAACAGATAGGATTTCTCAAATAAAGTCACTTAGGTGGCCAGCAAAACACTGATTTAGATAGAGACAAAGGTAAATGCCAACACGTTCCAGCGACCGAGCACAAGAAAAATCAACATAAACCCAAGTCCTTCCGGAGCCTCCGGCTGGTGGGGCGGCCAGATCGCAGGACGTGGGGTCACCGCTTCCTTGGCAAGCACAGCGTACTGGGGTCCCCACACTTTTCTCTCCGAGAGCAGAAACACGAAAGGAAGCGCCGCCCCACTCCTGCCGGCCCACCCAACCAGACACGCCGGCCTGGCGGGTCCGCAGCCGCACCCGAACCTGGGCCAGTCTGGGGAGCGAGCCCCACGCGGGGGAAGGCGTCGCGTTCCGCCAGCCGCCTGCACCGCCCCAGGGTCCGCGGCCAGCCGGCCAGGGCCGACGAAGACGTGGGGTCAGAGCTCCCGCCTCCCCGCGCCTGCGGCTCGCCGAGTGTGCGCATGCGCCGCAGCCCAAGCGCGCGCAGCCCTGCTTAAGCGAGCGATTAAAGGCGAACGGCAGGGGGCTAGGCTGGGCGGCGAGGCTCTTGCAACCGGGAAAGCGAAACCGACTGTAGTGACGTAGTAAAAAAATCACTAACTACAAGTGAACTTAGACCTAGTAAGGCTATTTCAAGCGTACTATTTAAATGCTTCTGAATCTATTAAGTTCACAGCAAATAACGTTATTTCTTTGGGCATGGGGCAGAGCATATATTGTGTGATAGAAATGGAGTTTGGGGACCTAGGATACCGCTTAAAACAACGCTGCGTGGTCTCTGTACTGGGCCGAGGTTTGCTGAATGACAGGAAGTCATAATGCTTAATGGTGTTCCTGCTCTTGAGCTCTCACGTAATTGTCAGGGCCCGCTTACCTTGTGGAAATGCAGCAGTCTGTTCCCACACGCCTCACATTTGGAGGGTGCGGTCAGTCAATTCCTTTAGCAACTGGGACGTCTGGTCAGCATTAACAATCCCAGTCTTGGGGCTCATTTCACAGTTTACTTGAAATTAACTTTTGTTTACCTGTGTTAATGGTAACTGAAAATTACATTATATTCCTGAATTCATCTAATTTACTGACTCGAGGCTACAAGGCCATTTCATATATATATTAGTTATGTTAGTGATATAACTCACTAATAGTGATTACTTTTTAAATATATATATATATATATATATATATATATATATATATATATACTTTCCACTAATAGTATGCACTTTTTGAAAACTGTTATTCTAACTTCAGATTACATGTTCAAACAACTTGTTTTTCCTTTAGTAGAACATTAGTTTACTAAGAACCAAATCTGTGAAGTAGAATTAAATACCCTTACAATAGCCTTTTCTTATGAGGCCATATAAATGTCTGCAAAACTTCATTATTTAACTGTTTTTTCCTCTGTTCGGTAAACAATTGGGTTACCTCACTATGCCACCTGGCCAGGATCAATGTTACAAGACTTACTGAGTTGTTGGTATTAATAATAAAAGCGAATGCTTTTATGGTTTGGAGAATGGCTTTACTTTTTTTTTCTCTCGCTTTTAGATGAAATTAAACTTGGCTGTTTGTTTTCCTTTTATCATGGTAACAAGGTGACTTTGTCTAATTATAGTTGGTGTAGGAAACTATGACCTATCTATGATTGTCCTGCCATCTGTTAACAACACTGAGTACTGTGTCCATTCAGTTTCTGGATGGCTGGGATGATGTTTTCTCGTGGCTATTTGATCCAGTTGAAATTGTTTATTATAGTGTATTAGGAGGCTAGTGTATGACAGCATGGCTGGCACACTCAGGCACGACCTACCACTTGAGGAGACCTTTTTAACCACTGGTGCAGAACAACTTGGAGCCTGACATGGGATTAAGCTGAGCCTTATACCTGGTACCAGTCTTCTGCGAGAGCATGCCAAACTTGGCACCTGATATGTCTTCTACCACGAGATCAAGTAGGACCACCTGGATCATCTTATCAGACATACAGAGATGGCAGTGATTGAATTTGGGACCACTGCTTTAGTTTTGGTGGTGCAGTCTGTTTGCAGGATATGGCTTTTCTGTTTTCTTTAAAGCACTCTTTTTTCCCTAGGCACTTTTGTGCTTCTTCATTTCTACCCTAAAATAAATGCTAATCTTTCACATCCATCAATTGTCCTGATCAATTAATTGATCAGGATAAATAACAACCTGCAAAACACTGCTGGTCCCTACCCCACCTGAAGACAACAGCTGACAATAGGGTCAGTGAACTGACCCTTCAAATGAATAGTTTCTCCCTGCCAGGTGCCCAGTTATTGAGAGTAGGCTCCATAAAACAAGCTATTGTAGCTTAAGATTAAAAAAATTGGGGGGAACAATAGTTAAAATATTCTTTCAGAGGATGATGGTTTTAGAATCATATTTTTATAAATTTTATCCAAAAAATGTGTTTTGTTTTCCTATTAACTTTTTTTTTTCTATTTGAAGTCCATTTTCTATTTACTTTAAAATCCAGCAATGTGAGGATTTAGATCAGCAGCGTAAGTGCCTGCCTGGCAAGTTGAGGTCATGAGTTCGATCCCCAGTACAAAAAAAAAAAAAAAAAAAAAAAAAAAAAAAAAATCCAGCAATAGAGATTTTCTAGGTAAGCTTCTACTAAACTTTATTCTTTGAGATATTAATAGATATATACTTACTACCCACTTAGCCCCTGAAAATACCTCTGATTAAATTTAAGATTGAACAATTTTGTATCTTCATAGGATAGTGAATTATTAAGTTTTCAGCATCTTTCTAAGTTAATTGTCTTTACCACAGATTCATTTTCTGTGCATAGAAAACATGAGCTTGAGATTGACTATCATAATGCTAGAATAATAGATTGAAAATTATTGAATAATCTTTAAATTCAACAATACAAATGCCTATTTCTCTGCCTTTTTTGAGACAAGGTCTTGCTATCTAATACAGGTGGACCTTGAACTTGCTTATGTAACCCGTGGTGGCCTCGAAGTCATAGCAATCCTTCTGCCTCAACCTCCTGAGTGCTGAGATTATAGATGTGTACCATCATTCCCTGTGAGTTTTTGATATAAAGAGATGTGGATTTCTAAACCATAGAATTTTAGTACTTAATTATTGTAAAGGCTATCCTAAAGGGATAAAGGACTGCTTACTAGGAAAATTTCAGTGAGTTTTGTGTACAATCTTTTGAATCTAAGTAAGGCAGTGGTCTAGATTGTCTAAAATCTGCCAGTACTTTAGAACTATATACATATATATCAAATCCTTGAGGTCCAAAATGGGGAGGGGGAAACTGTGAGGAAAACCAACCAATGCGTGTGTATGTGTGTGTGGGGGGGTGACCCACACACATGCATGTGCATGTCAGTCTGCATTTAGGAAACAGAAGATGAAAACAGACATGTAGACAACTACATAATGAGATGTCAACTTCGTCCAAGTTAAGTATAAAATAAAACTGAAGGAAGAAAGCATTCACATCACTTTGGTGTATTTAGAGGTGTCACGAGTGTCCAAGCTCTTAACTTGCAAGATGACAGTTTGCTAAGAGACTAAGCTAAGGGGAGAGTAGTCTAAAATGTCCTCCAAAGACCTGTGTGTTCAGAAGTGGGGCTTTTTGGAAGGTGATTAGCTCCTGGGGCATTATACTTATTAGTGGATTAATCTGCTGATGAATTCATAGCTGGCCGTGCAGCCAGCAGGAAGAGCCTGGTCAGAGGTGGGTCATGTCTCTTCCCTCCTCTTCACTTCCTAGCTGTCATGGTGAAATCAGCTTTCCTCGGCTGTGCCCATTCATCATGTACTTCTACCTTGAAGCCAGTCAAATGGGTGGATTGATCCGAAACTGCCAAATTAAAAAAAGTCCCTTCTTTTAAATTGTGATTGTCAGGTATCTTGTCTCAAAAATGGGAACATGACTAACACAAGAGATTCGAAAAGATTTGAGGGCTACGAAGAGCATGAAAACAGGAAGTTCAAGAGAATAGAGAAGTTATGGTTTGCAATATTCACAAAAATTTTATTAAACTGAGAAACTACCTGAGATAGGCACATATGCAATTTCTTGACATTAAATCCACCAATTTTGTTAAACTTCTGGAGCACAAATTTGAAAAGACTAGGCAACCAGTTAAAGACAAATCTGTAGTATTAAATTTAATTCATTCAAAAAGAGACGAGGAGGTCAGAACATAAGGGCACAAAATAAGTAAATGAACTATATTATACCTATAGTCTTGAGGACAGGCACTATCTCTATTAGGCTCATGCTAGTTGGCTCCATATATCTTAGTAAATGTTAATATTTTGGAATAAAGAACAATATTCATTTTTGAATTTTTGGTTGAGATAAATTCTTTGGTTTGTTCTTGCTGTGTTGCCCAGCTGGCTTTGAACTCACAAGCAATCTTCCACTTCAGCCTCCTGAGTGCTGGGATTATAGGTGTGGACTACCATGCCTAGCCAAGAACAGTATTTTAATCAGAAAAATTTTGTAAGAAAATCACAATCATTTAAAACTATGCTTATTATATCTACAAATCAATCTTTATATAAGTATCAAATTATTGTCAGATCAGACTCTTAGAAGCATTTTTTTTAGTCTTTCATGTATCTGACCCAGATTATATAAACAGCATTTATCAGTGTAAATAAACTACAATGTATATTTAACTGTAACACAAGTGAAACTAATTCCTTCTCAGAACATTACATATCTTTACCAATTTTACAATTTGCTTCAATTGAAGAAGGAATTCTATAGAACTCTTTTTAAGGGGTCAAATTAAGGCAGGAACTTCCACAGAAATGTTTGTATTTTGGGGGAATCACAGGCAGAACAGTAATTTCACTGGAAAAAAATTTTAATATCAATGTACTTTAGATACATTTTTGTGAACATACAATTGCTTAATATGCATTACAAAATGTTTAATTTTAGAAAGTCTCCAACTTCTAATTATCAAAAGAACTCCATTTCTGGTACAAAGATGGATCATTTTGTGTATTACACCAAAATTAAAATTTACCCATATTCTAAAATTTAGTAATGAGATAAAACATTATCGTCTACTTAGAAAAGATCACCAATGACCACACAGACTATTTTTACACATATATAAAATTTTATATTTTTGTTTTTAAGAGACATGATTTGTTCTATACAACACATTTATTAAAGAATTAGAATGTGGAAGGCAGAGGATTTAGAACCAGACCTATAACATTCTAGAACTTTCTAGTCCACAGTAATTTTTATCTCTAGTGAAAGTTGGTAGAGAATATATGTCTGAGTGAAAAAATATAAAGATTTCTTCCTGTCTAAATCAGAGATACTACTACTTAACACACACGTATTTCTGTAAAGGAAAAGAAAAGGAATGGGTACCAATTATTACATAAGATTGAGTTGTTTTAGAAATCTGTGTAACTGTCATTTTGTATAAAATATCAAACTAAATAAAATAAGATTTGGCTTTGATGTAATATTTTTATAGCAGTGTCTTTTTTTTAGAAAAGGTTTTATTATGAATTAGTTAAGCATTTTAAAGTAAAAATGTCTTACAACTCAATACCATATTCAAGTCAAATATCACTGTCCTTACTGCCTTTGGTAAGTCATTATAAGAAATCTGTTTGCTTCAGAGAAAAGCATTTGATTACAAAATGTCTCTAAGTTCCTGTTTCCACTGAGTTCAACAGTGTTTACCAAAGTACTTTGCATGTATTTCTTTTTTTTAGCATTTATCATACTATAGTATACATATAGTATCATACATATAGTATACATATTATCTGTTCCTCTAAAAAGACTTTGAACATAAGAGCAGAAAATCAGCCTTGTTTCTTTTCTTTTCTTTTTTGGTGCTAGGCTAGGGTCTCATGTATGCTAACCATGTGCTCTGCTACTGAGCTACATTTTGCAGCCCAGTATTCATCTTTGTATCAAGCTCCTGACCTTTGGCTACTTTTTTATAGAGGTTAGTAGTCAGAATATACAATGAATGAAAATAAGTTATTCACTGTGTCCAGTTGAGGAAAAAGTTATCATTTTGATTAGTTTAATCGCACATTGTCAGAATACTAAGAAATCTTATCTGCAAAATGAAAAAAGATTTTAGAAAGGATTTTATTTCTCCATGAATAAAGCTAGAGACAGATGTAGTTAATAAAACAATTTGATGTAGGGCGAGTTCAGAGCACATTATGAGAGTAACAAGAAAATGGCCAGGAGAAAACACAAAAAATTCACTCTAAAATTACTAAAGGGGTAGTTTCTTCACTGACTGTTTTTTGTTTATGTCAATACTAAGATACTGTACACAGGACCTAAGTTGCAATAATTAGTGTATAGTATTTGAGGTAGATGGTGAACTACATGAAAATCAAAACTTGGAAAACTTTAAATCATAATTTGTCCAATTTATTTTGAATTACATTGTAGATATGAACAGTGTTTGCTCATGATTATATACTAGAATATAAGAGTATATAAAGGTATTTGAAATAATACTAGAAAAAAATGTAGTGATAATTGTAAGGAAATACATCCAATATTTAAGATAAATATAAAATGACTTAAGATTTATACCATCTACAAAAGATTTTCATAAATATTTGTTATAAACAGCTCATGTGAACTAAGAAACATTTCCTACCTTTACATTTGCTTAGAAAACATTCCTTACTAGAAAGAATGCTGCCAGTCACAGTGGCCCATGCTACTCAGGAGGCAGAGGCAGCATGATTGCAAGTTCAAAGCTAGTCCAAACAATTTAGTGAGATCTTGTCTCAAAATAAAGCAAGCATTAGAAATGTAGCTCAGTGATAAAGCTTATGTGTGACCCTATGGGTTCAATCCCCAGTAAAGTCTTTTTGTGTTAATACTATGAAAAGACTACTGCTAGGATTTAAGCAAGTCTTATTTTAAAAAAGTAAAAGAGACTATCCAAACAGTTGGCAAGAAAGGTCTTAACTTTTTAGCAAAGATTTGTGGTAATTCATAACAAGGTATATATGCTATTTTCATATGGTAATATCACAAAGAAGGATTAAATAACTTGATTATACTTCTAATAAATTTTTATACTTATCAAAGCTTTTTGGAGGAAAGGGTCCTTATTAAATATTTGATGAAATAAAGCAAACACTTTAATTCAAGTGGCAACCATACAAATGATTATGATGCTTCTATTTTATAAAATAAATAGTATTTGCATAGCTTTATCAAAACATGCAGCTTTTTTTTTTTTTAAAGTACTGGGGGTCAAATTCATGACTCACACTTGCCTGGCAGGCACCTGTGCCACTGAGCTAAACCCTTGGCCCAACACAAGTAGTTTTCATAAAGAATACATTTCATTTCCCATATGTATTAGGTGTGCTCTGTCTGACTCACCAGACAGAGAGAGAGGGGGAGAGAGAGAGAGAGAGAGAGAGAGAGAGAGAGAGGAAAAGCTACATGTAAGATAATCAACTACAGTTTAAGTAGTTAATTATAAAGATACAATGTAATACTTCTTTTTGGAACCAGGAATGAACGCAGGACCTTGCATGTATTAAGCAGGCACTATTCTGCTGAGCTATACCTCCAGCCTAAGAAGAATAAATTAGAGGAATGAGATTTTTCTGATTTTTTTGTTTTGGTACCAGGAATCAAATTCACTATCTCATGATTGCCAGGCAGGCACTGTGCTGATGAGCTATATCCCTGGCTCAGTACTTTTTGATTGGGTTTTCTAGGGGGAAAATAGTTTACTATATTCATATGTTATTTTTGAGATAAAGAAAGTAGTTAAAAACAATAAAACACACAGATGCTTAGGGGTATGCCTAACAAGAAACTTGGTAACCTGTTTGCCTCTTAATTTATCCACTTTGAAGTTGGAAACTCAGAATTATCATGAGAAAAAGAGCAGTACAAATGTATCTGTTTTATCAAGATAAAAGCTAGATTGTGAACTCTGAATTATTTTACAACTTGTTTTCTTAGAAGCGGAGTATCATTAGCTACTAGCTTTTAGTAGTCTTGAGGTACAGGAGGCCTTACTTATTTGAATGATTCAAAGGTATTTCATTCTTTTCTTTGCTTTTTTTCTTTTTTTGGTACTTCATTATTTTAAAAACATCTTACAAACTATTTTTAAATCTAGCATCCTTATAAGGCAGGCCATGATAAACTTACTTCTAATGGTAAAAGACATACAGTTTAAAAAACTTTCCCTCAGCTTTGTTCTATAAATTTTCAAACAGTAATGTCAATAAAACAAAATCCAGGAAAAAAAAAGTAAAGCTGGGTGTGGTACACTCTTGTAATTCCAGCATTTGAGAGGTTGAGGCAGGAGGATCACTGCAAATTTGAGACCAGCGTGGGCTACAAAGTGAGCCCAAGTCTAGCCTGAACTGCATAGCAAGACCATGTTTCAAAAAAAAAAAAAAAAAAAAAAAAAAAAAAAAAAAAATCGAAGAATTTTAAGGTCACATTTAACATGAATAATTAGCATTTGGAATCTTATCAAACCCTGACTTTGGTACAGAAAAAACTTTAAAAAGAAAAAAAATTATAAACGTATTATGTGTGACAGGGTGTTCTTTAACAGTAGTTTATTATTATTTTCGTCTTTTTGAGACAGGGTTTCACTATGCAGTTCAGGCTGTCCTTGAACTCACTTTGTAGCCCAGGCTGGCCTTGAACTCCAGAGATTCTCCTGCCTCGGCCTCTTGAGTGCTGGAATTACAGACACCCTTTTTTTTTTTTTCCCCGCCACCACTCCCAGCTCACACACATGCTTTAACGGTAACTTAAACAGACAAAAACAAAAACCTTGCAAACATACAACTTTCTAGCAAAATTTCTAAGTGCTATATATAACTCTCAGTAAGGCACTTCCATTCATTCTCAACTAAAAGTTTCATAAATTTTTTTTGTACTCAAGTCTTCATAAATTATATATATAGTAATAATTTTATTTCACGCAAAACTTCATTAAATACTCAATTTTGGCATAATTGCCATAAATATATTTATCTCTGAAAAGAATGATGGATGGGCATAAAGTTCTATGCAGGAAAACTTAAGTGAAGGTACTCTCAGACATTTTAGATTTAGAGAATTGGTAATGTTTTATCCTGATGTTGCTCAAGAGTCTTGAAATCTTCCAAAGGAAGACTGCTTAATGCAGCTGGTAAAATGTGTTCTGAAGTGCCCTTAGGTAATACATTATTTGCTTCTAAATTTTTTATCAAATATGTAGCTTTGATCCATCTTCGAGTTGCTCTTCGTTCTTTCTGTAGGCAAATTTTCATTTTTCTTCTTAAGGTTGCTATTTCTTTTTCCAGTTTAATTATCCTTTTTTTTGCTTCCATAGGATTCCTAAAGGCATAACTGTGTTCAAGCAGTACTTGGTGACTACTACTGTTTGATTTCAAATTAGATGGTCCAGCTGGAGAGCAATTCTTGTTTTTCTTCAAAAGATTCCTTGACTTTAGTTCCTGAGCCAAATAAAATTAGAGTGGAACATAAATTATAGAACGTCACAAGTAAGTAAATCCTGTCCAGTTCTGGGTAACAGAGTACTTAACTGTCTTTTCAAGAACTGATTTGAAAGTATGATGGGAAATAACAGTAGACTAGCTCCTGGATTAAAGTTTTCAGTAGGTTGAATGAACTCCAGTCATCTCTTTCCTCTTGGCTTTTCTCTCCAGGTATTTATTTAAATGGTCTGATTTATTTATTTATTTATTTACCACAGATCGAACTCATGACCTCACACTTGCCAGGCAGGCACTGTGCCACTGAGTTATATTCTGGATTCAGGGATATTTAAACACTGATTTGGAAATAAACAACTGACTTCCAAAGTATCATCCAAGTAACTGGATGTAATTGAGTATAACTCTATGAGACCAAGTCCCCTGCAATTTTCTTACTTCTTGCAATTTAGAATACATTTACACATTACTTATCTATGACTTTAATGTTAAATATTATTCTCTCAATTTGATATTTCAGACCTAGAGACTACTGAAGTGAAAACTGAATGAGCCATTGAAACATATTTTGAAGCATCAAGCTTTTAAACAGAATAATCTATTGTTTACAGTTATATTTTCAAGGATTTAAAAACCGATCAGGAACTTTTTGCCCGAATCAGAAACTTGAAGAATTCTTTGTTTTACTCTAAGAACATTAAACATAATCTCCAGACATGATTTCCAGATTATATCATATCTTCATACAGTTTTCGTTTATTAAATACTTATTGAAACACATACAATGAATGAAATTTCTGGGGAAATATGGTTCCTGTCCTGATGAAACCTACAGCTGGACCCTCAGCACAGGGAATTGCTTAGAACTCTTTTGCTCTTTGTATCTCCAGCACTGGATTCTGGTATATTGTAAAGTTTAATGAAAAGGTTCTTGTTTTTGTGTCTATTTACAAATTTAAATGTCACAAATAATTCAGAAAAAGCAGAATTTTTTTCTTCCCGAAAGGAAGTTATTTGTCCTTTTTTTGTTGTTTTGTTTTTTGAGACAGAGTCTCACTGTGTAGATCAGGCTGGCCTCAAACTTGCAGTGATCCTCCTGACTCAGCCTCCCAAGTGCTGGCATTACAGGCATGCGCCACCATGCCCAGCAATATCCATCCTTTTACAAACTAAAGGCGCCCTATTCACTTTTCTTTTAATGGCTCTATTTCAACTTTTCCTCTCTAGTCAAATCTTCCCTAACTAGATCAAACATAAATTTTAATTCACTCACTGTGTATCTTGTTTTTTTAAAAATCACTTGTTAACATTTGATAATTTCTCACTCTTTAGCCCACAGGCTTTTGTTCTCCTTCAGTTACAACTGTTTCCTGCAAGGTCAAAAACCTTTTCTAGACTTTCAAGTTCTCAAATCCAGACTGAATGAATACTTGAGCTTTATTAAATTTCTCAACTCTACTTAACTCTACACTCATATCTTTATATTCTAATTTGGTGTGTTGCTCCTAAAACACTTGGCATGTTATTTATATGTCATCCTAAAATCAGAGTGATGCTGGAGATTTCATTACTAATATTTCTGTTTTAAAAATGGTGTATTTATTGATAAAAATTGATACTAGTGTAAAATTCCAATACAGGTTGATTGTTCCTTATACTTGGGATCAGCGTGGTTCACATTTTCAAGGTTTTTGGATTTTGGAATATTTATATAAACTATTAGTTAAGCATCTTTAATATAAAAATTCTTATCAGAGATGGTCAATCTACCCAGTAAAACAATTTAGACTGAGGAAAGAATACTGGAGTCAGGACACCTAAGTATATATTTTTTTACCAAAAAATATGAAGAAGAAGGTCTGGTGATGGCGAAGACAGGATGATGGGGAAGGAAAAGGGAAGAAAAAAATGATTAAGATGCTCTATATGTAAGTACCAATTCCTCAGAATGAACGTAATCATTACTCAAGTATCGCAAACACATACTAACAACAAAAACCTAAAAAAAAAAAAAAAAAAAAAACACTAGAGGAAGGTATGTAACTATTGAACATACCATTATACAAGAATAGCAACTACCCTGACTGCTACTTTGTATGAACAAAAAAGAAAGCTGCTAAAAATGGCTTTAAACAAAAATAACATTACCTACCATAGACTTTATATGGGTACAAAAATCAAAAATAGTTGGAACAGCATCCATTTTAAGTCGTCGAGTCTGTCCTGTTAGGTCAAAACAGGAGGCTTCAAAGTGCTTTGAACAAAGAAAAGTGTGTTTTCCTGGCACAAAATTTTTGCGCCTAACCAGGCGAACCCATTCTTTTCTTCTTTTAGGATCCAAGGGAAACCTTGAACAAATAAAAAAATGGCAACTCAAATTCCAACTATCAGATCTCTGACTAAATCTAAACGGTTAAAGAAATTTTAAAGTATCTCTCATTTACATTAAAAATGGAAACTCACGATATCCAAATACTGGACTAGGAACCAATTCATGCTAATTTTTGTAATTTGTGAAAAAATTTGTAAAAAACTGATCTGAGTACCTTCATTTTTCAGAGCTTTTAAGAGACACTTCTTCTCAACTAGTCCTTAACACAAGCAATCAAATGACCCTGACCATCCTGAGTGTGGTGGTACAAGCCTTGTAATCCCAGCACTCTGGGAACCCCTACCTGAGACCTCAATAGGTAAGTTTCCTGAATAATACAGTGAATACTTAATTTTAAAAATATACTACAGTAAAAACATGTTGCTGTGAATCCCTCTCAAAATACACCTCCCTCACATAAAATATATTTATCATATTCTTCTTGCCACTTTCTGAAGCAATTCTGGAAGTCCTCTTTGGAGTGTCTTTATGAGGTGTGATGAAAAATATTGTGAATGCTGCTGCCAAATGCCACCAGTAAGAAAGGTAGGCTTGTAAGAACTGTATCTCCCCACATGCACCTTGTTCTTTGGAGCTGACACTGTGTGACTTTTGGCTCTTCTCCACAATCAACATGACCAATCAATATTTTGAATTGATTCAGGACATCAAGGCAGCCATGACAACACAAATTAAAAGATACTTCACAAAAGAAGACTCCCAGAACTACTCCAAAAAGAGGACGGAATGATGAGATGAGTGTGTTTGACACACATACATATGTGAGGGGAAAGTTTTAAGGAGGATTTATAGAAATCTGTCTTTATTGTAATAATTTTTAAATTTTATTTATTTTTGAGACAGGGTCTCACTATGTGGTTTAGGCTGGGCTTGAATTCATGGCCTCCTGAGTGCTAGGATTATAGGCATGTGTCACCATGCCTGGCTAAAATTTAAACACAAATATTTCTTGATCACACCTCATACTAGGTTTGCTCACACTGCCAGTGATGAAAAGCAGAGATAAATGCCTAAACACAGTATAAAGTAAATACATCCATCTTCTGACTCTATCTCCCCCAATTCCAACACATCTTGAAGATACTAGAATTTATGTTACTCTATGTAGTTTGTTTTTATATCTACTTTACTAGAAAACAGACATTTTCTGAAGAACTTACTACTTTGCTTAGCTTTCATCTCTTAATGATAATCTATTCTCATTTCAAAGACCTTTGTTCTATTATTAATGGTTGGAGAATATTTCCTAAAGCCTAAACTAGAAATCAAATGTTAAATACATTTCTTCTTGTTGAAGTCTCATTGAAGACTTAGAACAAGTAAAATATTATCATTGTAGTACCGTGTCTTCAGGCATAGAACAACTCTTTCAAATAGTTTTTCACTGGTTGCTTATTTGAGTGGCAGGAATCAAACTCAGGGGGGCCCTTATGCATGTGAGACAAGTACTCTATCAATAATTTATATTCCCTAACTCTTTTATTAAAGTTCTATTTTAAACTTCTTCCTTTATAATGAAATCAATGCCTCAAACGCAACTTTAACTTGACTAAATTCTATTTCCTTTCTCTAAGACTATTTAGGAATCCCTCCTTACTAAGGTTTTCATGATCATGAGATAGTTAGATGTTTGTTATGTCATATAACACTAATACCACTACATTGTTACGATGTATTTTTTAACTCCCACCCCCATTAGACTGTAAGTTTCCTCAGGTTATGGGCTATATTTTTCATCCTTTTTCCTAGGTTATCATAGCTATGTACCACAGTAGGTGAAGCACTTGGAACTTTTCTGAGTGAATTAATACATGAACTAACAGGATTAATTTGGCATTCTTAAATAATCTTTGTAATGAAACAATTTTATATTTGATATTGGTGTTTTAATATAGCCTTATTCTCAGTTGTGTTTTCTATTTGTTGCTTGGATGTTTACAGTACATTTAAAGTGCAGGAGATGCAGCCTATCAGCTGCATTTATGTAATAATAAACATAAATATTTAAAATTTGGTATAACAGAGAGGATATATTCTTGTTTTATAACAAAACCAGGATATCATTCAGTACTTTGATCAATGTTATTTTCTTTACATCTTTTAAAGTAACTGAATGTCTCGTATTCCAGGTCTATACTAGGCACTGAAGACATGTACTCTGAGCATATACTGCAATGGGGAAAGTATAGTGGATGATAGGGTATCTGAGGACATTGCTTCTGGACAAATAAAGACTCCAACCCTATCTTCTTTGCATATGAGCTGGAAGACTGTAGGTGAGTTACTTAACATTTTTGCTTCTCTCTTTATCATCTGTGAAGTGAGGTAAGAATGGGTCTAAGGATTAAATGAGTATGTGCTTAGCCAAGTATACACGGTGAATACAATAAGGGCTTTGTTGCTATTATAAAAGTGACTAATGTGTCATGAGTCTTATTAAAGGCTAAGTACAGGGCCTAGCAGAATCATGAAACAAAAAGGTCTGATCTATTTGAGAGTTTTAAAGAGAGTAAAAATTAGCTGCAGAAGCTAACTGGGAGTAGCAAAGAATATTGGATATCTTGGGGACAGGGAAGAGTGTTTCAACATGATGTCATGATGGAGGATTATACACAATAGCATTAGTAAGCCATCAAAAGGCTGAAGTGTAAAAACTGTTAACAGAAAATATTTGAACTGATTGTTAATCATATTAAAATTATATAAACTTGCAATTAAATCAAAAGTATTAAGTACTGCAAATCCTAATTTTCTAATTATTTTACTATTACCTGATTTTATACTGTAACTTATGTCTGTTGTACATGTATGGTAGAAATACCGTAAAACAGTGTTATGGTATCATGTATCTCTTCCCAACTCAGTAATGTCATATTGATGACTTGAAACCAACTTTGATGGGAGTATATTATGGAAATTAGGCAAATACTGCACAGCCAGCCTTTCTTTTCCTCTAGTGAACCAGCTGTTAAACATTTAGCTATACATCACAGATCACAGTAATGATTAGCCCTGCATGAATGAAAGCAGTAAACCAGTTAAAAGGGTGGTAAAAGTCAAGGTAGGATGACTTTCAAATTTCTGGGAGGACAGTGTTTCTGTTTATTGAAAAAAAAGAATACAGAAAGTGGGGTATTTTGTGGGAGGGGCAGTTTACTGCAGATGTTAAATCTTTAGGATCAGCAGGAGACCAGGGAAATGGGAGACACTGGCCTGAAGGTCTGGTACTCATTAGAGATAAGGACTGGAGATACCTATTTGGAAAACATCAACAAGTACATGTTAACTGGGATTATAAGGGTTGAAATCAGTTTGACAAGAGTGTGAAGACTGAGGTGTGAAAGTGGGAAGATGAGCAAGTGAAAGAGTGTGGAAAAAAAATCACAAAATTAGTATCAAGGAATTCAAAAGTTGAAAGTATTTCTTTCTTCTTTTTCCTCCTCCAACAAGATTTTCACACATCCTAGGTAAGCCCTTTACCACTGAACTATATTCCCAACCTCTCTCTCTCTTTGACACAAGATCTTCTCTATGTTACCCAGGCTGACCAAGAACTTGCAATCCTCATGCCTTAGCCTGCTAAGTAGCTTGGATTACTAGCATGCACCAATACACTGGGCTAAAAGAAGAGATTATTTCAAGGAGGAAAGGAACATACACCATAAAAAATGAATGTAGAGAAACACAGAGGTCATGTGAACAAGGGCAGTATCAGAACATTATTAGAGAATTAGACTGGAGGGGATTAAGAGATAAGAAAAATGGAGGCAGTAAATTTAGGTAACATAACTTGTACATGGGGATAAAAGTGTCTGTGAATATCTGGGAGGGATACAAGTTAATCAAACTGTTAGGCTCATAGTAGACAAATGAATTGCACATAGTACAGCTACCTACTTTTTTAATATTAATTTGCACCCACCCTAAGCACTTATTGTGCTAGAACTAAATGGTAGTATTTAGCTCAGCTGACATTGCAGTAGATTTCCCTGTGAAAGAAACAGCAAGTAAATTAACATTCTACAATAAGCTCCTTTCTCATCAAATTCACTCTGCTGATGCTTGGCTAGCACTTTAAGTAATGCTCTAATTCTTCATATTGTAGCCAAAGGTCTTTTAAATATGCAAATCTAATCATGCCATTATTCTTTTTAAACCTTCCATAGCTTCTCAAGTACTCTTAGAATAAAACAGAAAATACTTAAGTAGCATAGAGAACAAAGTCTATATCATCCTCTCCTCCCCTATGAAATGTCACATCCTTTGAGAAGTGTTTTCTGACTTTCCAAGGCTAAATGAGGTTTGTCTGAAGCTCTTTTCTGGGACACTTAACTGTAATTATTGGTAAATCTCCTCCATTAAGCTCTGAACTTCAGGAGAGTAAGAACTTTATGGATTCTTAGCACAATGTTGGACTAAGTAGCTTGGATTACTAGCATAGACCAATTGAATACATGAATAAATAAAGCTCTATTTATAAGAAGCAGTTAAAAAACTATCACAGGATTATTTTTAAGGGGAAGCTTTAATAAGGTGGAGCATTTAGTAATAGTGAAGTTAGGGAAACGTCAATGATCTAAGTTCCTCTATTCTAATACCACATAAATTGTAAAGTATATACAGTCAGAACTGGCTGGGTGTGGTGGTGCACACCTGTAGTCTTAACACTGCAGAGACTGAGGCAGGGAGATCACTTTAAATTCCAGGCCAGCCAGGGATACATAGAGAAAAAGAACAAAAAAATCATAACTGTTATCCTTAACTTTTTATTTCTTTTTTTCAGGCAGGTTTCGGGCACCAGGCAGTGTTGGAAGTGCTTTCAAGAGTTTTGATTTGATAGAACTTCCAGCAAAGGAAGGAAAAATAAAATCTACATTCTTTTGATTATTCGAGAAAATAAAACTTATCCTTCGCACTTTCCTTAACATAGCTGAATTTCATGACTATCAGGGATGATGACTCAGTTCCTCAGCAGTTACAATTAAAAACCTGAATGTTTTTTGTTAATTCACCTAGTGGTATTTCCAAATACTAATGGGTGTGTGGAAAGCTTTTAAAGGTGACTGTTGACTTGAAGGGGAAAAGATCTTTCCCTGTGGCGTCATTCATAACGAAACATGGTCTAATACTTATGAAAAGAGTAGAAAATTTTAAGTATCCTCCTATCACTTTTTCCCTAGAGTTGTCATCGCGCAGCGTTTACATTTTTTTTTTTTTTTAATGAGTACACTTTTCCCAAAAGGAAAGAAAAACATCGACAGACTTGAGGACCACACATAAAGGACAAAAATAATTCTTCCCCTGACGCCACCTGGGAAACTCAGTAAGATTTGTAGAATCTTCCTGTTCCTTCCACAAGCGAAACCCAGACTGACAGCTCCCGCACCCCCACTCCCTTTCCCAGATTACCTGTGGAAGCTGATGTTAATGTGCTTGTTGTAGGTAGTAGCACAGCCTGCTGCAGCGCAATTGGTCGGCATTTCCCTTGCCCCCTCATTCGGCGCTATCTTAAACCTGTTCTGAGGGACCAGCTGCTAAGCTTCCTTCAGGTACAGGGTGGACAATCGGGAAGGACGAGGGCCCACCGAGCTCAGTGGTGACAGCGGGGTGAAGGGAACGGGCGTACATGGAGGGTGGGGCGCGAGAGGGTCAGTCTTCCCTTTCTGTTTATTAGTATGACGCATGTGAGCCAGCAGAGCCGAACACCTTAGAGCTTCGGGCGCCCTCCTTTGCCTTCACCAAGATGGCGGAAACTGCCCTTCCCTGCCCCTCCCCGTCCCCCGAAAGAAATAGGTCTACTGCGTCCCCTGGGCAATAGTATTCAGAGCAATTAAAAGACAGAGGTGTTATCCCCTCCGTTTACTACGAAAGTGTCTGAAATCGGTAGGTAAGCGCAAGCTGGCCCACCGCAGCCCGCACTAAGGTCCCAGTGCGGACCCCGGGGCGGGCGAGTGTTGGAGACCGGAAGGATGATCCAGATGACAGACAATATACCACAAATCTCAAGTGCGCCTGCTTCGCATTATCGCGTGACTTGGGAACCTTGCTTCCGGCGTGCCGCAGGAAGTGACGGCGCGGGCTCGGCCGCTAGCAGATCCCCCGTCTCGCGAGGCAGGAAGATTCCTGATCGCTGAGGACCAAGGGGGCGCTAGGAGAGGGAACTGGCTTGCGACGGTCCGGCGTGAAAGAACTGGGGTGCGGGGAAGTTGGGGAGCGGAACCCGCTAGGTGTCCGAATACAGTACGGCCGCACCTACCAGGTCCGTTAGGAAAGAAAGGAGCCGAGGACGAAGGCAGTTGTCGGGCGGATCCCCGGACGGAGGGCTAAGGTGGTGTGGAAGGCGCTGCTCCGCGGATGGCGACCGTGGACACTTCGGCCACGGCCTCCAGTGGCCTGTCGCCGAAGGAAGAAGGGGAGCTTGAGGATGGGGAGATCAGTGACGACGATAATAACAGCCAGATACGGAGCCGGAGCAGTAGCAGCAGCAGCGGCGGCGGGCTGTTACCGTATCCGCGGCGAAGGCCTCTACACCCGGCCCGGGGCGGTGGATCCGGCGGAGGCGGTGGCTCCTCGTCGTCGTCCTCGTCCTCTCAGCAGCCGCTGAGGAATTTCTCACGCTCGCGGCACGCGTCGGAGCGGGGCCACCTCAGGGGACACAGCAGCTACCGACCCAAAGAGCCTTTCCGGTCTCATCCGCCCTCGGTGCGGATGCCTTCGAGCTCACTGTCCGAAAGCAGCCCCCGGCCGTCTTTCTGGGAGCGGAGCCACATTGCCTTGGACCGTTTCCGCTTTCGAGGCAGGCCTTACAGGGGTGGGAGTCGCTGGAGTAGGGGTCGAGGAGTGGGTGAGCGAGGAGGCAAGCCGGGGTGCAGACCTCTGGGAGGAGGAGCGGGATCCGGATTCAGCAGCAGCCAGAGCTGGCGAGAGCCCTCTCCACCTCGGAAGAGCTGTATCCTTAACCGAGGCGGTCGGCCCTGGGTGTGTCACTAAAGTTCCCCTTTGCGTCATTAACTAGGTCCACAAGATGAGTGTAACTTTGCCGAGCCGCTAGTTCTTGTCGGTGTAAAGTTGCTCGACAATTTCTATGTGCTACACTGGTGATGCTGCCGACGTTGTATTATTGTTTTGATATTAATGCGTTACGGATTGGGGTACCTAGTGGAATCACAGATGATAAGACTTGAAATAGTTTTCGGAAGTTCAGAATTATATAAGCATGCATTTTTTTTTTTGCTAGTACAAAAACTGAGTCTTATGTGCAGTTGACTTAGATTGTTAGAAAAAATAGCAAACACTTTTGGGAATACTGTACTGTTATTTGTATTGCCCCTTGACATTGGAAACATTGTAAATAGTAAGTTTTCATCTGCACAACCTCACCGTTATTATTACTATTTTGGAAACAGGGTTTCACTATGAAGTTCAGGTCGGCTTTGAACTCATGTTGTAACCAGGCAAGGCCTCCAACTCGCCGCGATCCTCCTGCCTCGGGCTCCCAAGTGCTGGGATTACAGGCATGCTCTACCATGCCTGGCCTAACCCACTGTTCTTGTGATTCCGTTTACCTTTCTTACTCAACCGCATTACTGTCTTGAGGGGTGGGGGCAGGGAGAGGAAGAGCTACTGTGCCTTTAGCAACTATATCGATTTAGAGCTTTTTAAACTCATAGATAAGTATGTTTTTTAAACTCATAGATAAGTATGCGCATTAACTTTTACTTACTGTGTTGACTTGAATGTTTTATAACTTGTAGTGGGGTTTGCATGAGGGCCAAACGCAAAGGTAAGTTTACCAGCACTTTTATTTTAAAGTTTTAGAGTGTATATTATGGACAAGAAAAGAAGGAAAACAGTAAAATACGTGATCATTTTTGCTCCCTTTAATCTTACTCTCAGTTATCTTTAACATTACTGAGTTTACTGTAGATTTATATCATGAAATTGTCAGGTTTCCTGTTTTAGAGAACTGTGTCTTGATTACTCTGTAATAACTGCATTGAAGTTTATGAAGGGCTTTCATTACTAATTCTCATGTAATTTTTAAATGTATTCATTATGTATAAAATTTACATATATTTATTTGGAAGATACTCCAAGTTATTTTTACAGAATGCTTAGCGCCCAAATGGGGTGTCCTGGATATCATGATGTAAAGGGATTAGCAATGTTTAATTAGGTAAAAGCAGCTTCTGATGTTGCTGCCCTGAAGAAACTTGTTTCTGAAACGAGACATTGGATTAGCATTTGGGGATTGTTTCAGAAAAAAATTATTTAAGTCTTTTAAAGACAATGAATGTTCTTTCAAGAAGGTTAGAGAACTTCTGTCTAGAATATTTTTTTATCCATGGATTTGTTGATTGATCTGAATCCAAATCAAAAAGGCTAGTTAGGCATATACATGGATTTTTAAAAGAGAATTTAGAGATAAAACTTGCACTTCATTTTGGGGAGACAAACAAATTAATATAGTTTCGTAAAAAAGTTCAAATTGAGGTATACATAAAGTACTGTGACAGTTTATGGCTTTATTCTTGTTTTATTCTGTATTGGAAAAGAAGGAAATGAATGGACTTGCCATCATCTTGCCCTTTGTCTCTGGTCTGTTCATTCAGTACAAGTTTGGACCTCGGACATACACCTTTATTTTTATATTTATACATATTTCTATTAGTAAGCAGACATATGAGATTGCAAATATATAAGAAAATATGGAGTCTAAGTGACTTTGATTTCTGTCAGAAGCAAGCTGTGCGTGGTGGTGCACGCTATTTTTGAGAGTGTACAACCTACACCATGTAGGCTGAGACAGGAGGATAATTGTGAGTTTGAGGCCAGCCTGAGATTACATATTGAGACTTTATCTCAAAAAACCAAAATACAATTGCAATACTAGTATAACTTGTTGGAAACACTCTTCTGCTGTCTGTCTTCGTTTTTCTTTCTTTCTTTTTTTTTTTATAAATGCTGCCCTTTAAGAAAAGGATGCTTATTTAGATACCCTGTGCAATTTTCCTCATGAAATATCAGTAGTCCATCCTAGCAGATGGTGTTCTTGTAAGAATTTGAAAAGAAAAACATAATTGTCAACAACTTTTGTATAATACGACCAAACAAAATTTGTATTGTAGAATTTATTGAAATTCTTTTAATATCAGTATTATATGTTGAATTCATATTTCCACTGTGATAAAAAATGTACTTACAAATACTGGGGAAAAAAAGAGTAATTGTGTGGCTTTCAATAATTTAAATATTAGGTATTTCAAATACAGGGGTTTATTTGGGTTCTAACTTTTTAGTTTTAGTAGTTTCAGCTTTAAAGAAACAATCAGATTCTAGTGTAGCTCTTTATTCTTACTCACTTTAAATTTTTCAGAATGATAGAGCCATTCTCAGTCTTTCTTTAGCACAAGTCTCCCTTGAATGACTAATGTTTAAACTTCCAAATCAGATGCCCTAACATAATTGGGCCATTGTCATCAATTAAAAAAATCATTCCATTTTCAGTTATAGCTGAAAAAGTTAAACAGCCTTTTTATTTAGATTTTAAAATTTGGTTTTTAAAAGCAATTATTTTTCGAAATTTAAATCAGAGATTGCATCTTATGGCTTAAAGTTACACCTGGAGTTTGCTGGTTTTGGTCTAGTTGTCAATATCATTAAGATTAAGAGATTTTTTTGTGTAGTCCTGAAGGAGATTAGTCATAACTCAGTTGCTTTTCCTAATTTTCCTATTCCTCAGTTATTTCACTTTTTGCTACTCTGGAGTCTTTTCATGTGCATACTTTCTCGAGTCTTTAGTCTTTATTTACTTTTTAATTGTTGCAATTGTGCTTTTAGATGGCTTCAGGGCAAAGCCATTTGTAGATAATTACAGTATTTGTGTATAAGACTACATAAGAAAGGAGAGGGGAGAGTAAGTAATTCTCAATTCACTGAGGAAGTTATTTGAATTAAAGTGAAGTTGAAGAATGGAGAAAGCTAGATACAAAGCTGCACACAAATTGTGATTAGCAGTACAACGGTAAGATTGGAAAGGTCAACACAGGGCAGATCATGAGACACCCATTCGAAGGATTTGGACTCTGTCCTACTGAGATTTAAACACGGAGTTTTAACTGTTTAGATTTGTGCCGTATTCTAGGATTACTCTGTCAGTAGTAATGGGCATGACTTGGAGAAGATAGGCAATTCAGACTACTGTATATCTTATCAGGAAGTTTCTCTCTTGTGGTATGTAAAACTATGGGAGTTTGCTCTAAATCAAAAGTTTTAAAGGAGAGCTTACTAGAGCACAGTTATTTCAGAAATTGTAGAGAAAAGTCATGAATTTTAAGGTAGAGAAACAAGGGGACAGTGAGAGTTATAGAGAGCAGTGGTATACAGCATCGAATGCTACTGAGAGGTCAGACAAAATTAAATCAGAAATTATTAATAGACATTCAGTTTAAGTAGTTTCTGTTGAATTAGCAAGACAGAAGTCGACTTTCAAATGGTTATAGGGTAGGTTAGAACAATACTGAGGAACTAGTGTTCTTTCAAGAAACTTGATTCTGAGCGTATCAGAATCTGAAGGTATTCTGATACGCTCAGAAT